GTTTTGTAAAGATTGTTTAGGTGACTAAAAACCCATTGTTTTGGTTTAGAGGCAAGACGTAATGGTGGTCAGAAAGGATATATTTAGGTTCAATTACAGCTTAGATAGTAAGCCTTATAAATTACAGTGGAATTTGTGGTATTGATATAGTAATTTATAATTTTTTATTTAAAAATGTATATATAAAACCTAAGAGAGTCTGGCATCCTCCAGGGATAGCATTTTACAAAATACTGGTGCACTTTTACAAAACTAAGAGGCCAGTTTTATATTATTGGATATGATAACATGAGCTGCATGTGTGCCTCATGATTGCAACTTCTGTGGCACTATTGTTAGTCAGACACAGTTGAAAGGTCAATAAAATAAAAATAATAAACATAAATAGACTATAGCCTTATGAAATTTAAGCTATTTAGAATAAACATTTTTAGTTTTTGTTACAAATTGCAATCATTCTAGAATGAAAAAAGCCTAATTTAGATTTATTTCTTAATTTTTAATGATGGTTACAAGGTTGGTCAAATCTACCAACCCTGTATAGAGTTAAGGTAGAAAAAATAGTTGGTAAAAGAATAAAGTTTTGGTTAAAAAATGTTTGATAAATATTTAGGAGGTTATTGAGATCATGCAAATGAAACTTGACAATATTCGTATAAAGAAAAGTAGTTTTAATCTTAAAATCAAAATTAATTTGCATGTTGGATAGTCAACATTCCAAAGGAAAATAACTCACAACAAACCTTTAATTAAAAGATCTTAATACTTTATTTAAAAATCTGATATTTTTGTGCATGAAAGCCTTGTAACAATTACTGATAATCTGTAAAATTTCATGAAGGTATGCATGTATTATCAAAAGTTATAGTATGACTATGTTCAACAGTACTTGTACATGTCAGTAGGAAGTAAACTAATTTAAACTGTATTGCAACCAAAGTAATTGAGCATGATTAAATAAAAGCATCAATTGACTAAATAAAATGCTTAACTAGTACTCCAGCTTACTTATCAAATTGTGTTTTTAGATATACATGTAAAATAACATTTAAGAGATATCATCCAATTAATCATACATATAATCTTCCACACTCATTTATGTGTAGTACAGTAATAAACAAAAATTACTTATTGAATTAGGGCTAATTGAATAATAGAAGATGGTCTTCAGACTTGTACAGATTTTTGTAGTTTTTTTTATGATGGCACAAGTATATAAACCACATTCACTCATTTAAGTTATTATCAGATGTATTTACTTTTAATTGGTGACTCCTACATATTTTTTTTTGTATTGTAACTGTTAATGTTTATTTGTTTCAGGAAATATTCCCACTAGACATGTGCTTACAATTTTGGGCTTTCTGGGATTTTTTGTAATTTACTCACTCAGAGTCAATTTGAGCGTCGCCTTGGTTGCTATGGTGAACAACACAGCCATATGGACAAATATTACCATAATTGAAGAATGTTCTAAACAATCTGGAATTTTAAACTCAACGCTCAAGTATGAAAAAGTATGTGTTTCATTATTATTGTTTTTTTTTGCAGTATGTCATTCTTACTTTGTCATATATGTTTACAGATGTGTGTATTACATTGTACATGTATGTAATATAGTAAAAGGTACAGTAATATGAAATTTGTGTTTGTTTTGTAAAGTGTAATCTTCAACAGAATATTTTATCTTAAAAGGAGTCAGTTTAAATCTTTAGCTTCTTAAATATGCATTGGTAATATAAAGCAGATTTGATTGGACAGAAGATTGAAAATGTAGAAAATGTCTCAAAAGTTATGACCTCATTGATTGTAGCTGACTTCATGATTTTGACCACATCTGGATATCTTAGAAGTAGTATATTCTATTCTTTACTTGTCAGACGTGTTTGTTTTATTGGTTGTAAATACAGCCTGTAATTTCTACACCCAAAGATGCACGTTATTTAGCTGTGAGCACTGGCCATAGCAATTACCATCATTAGCCAGCAATGCCCATTAAGTACTTGGAAGTAAATAATAAATATAAACAATAATAATGAATGAATTTATGCATGAAAAAAAAAAAATGACATTTATGTTGCCAAAACATGTTCGAGTTAAAAATGAATAATTAAAATTATTGAAAAAGTTTTTGAAAATATATGCAGAATAAAGAATATTTTAGAACTAGACAAGCATGAAATTAACTCTTAAAAACTGCATCAAGAAGTATAAGAAAACAGGAGAAAAGAAAGGACAAGTTTTCAGTCTTCTCAAATTTTATTATTTTCATACCATAGACAATCATTGCCCCACTTGATGTGGAACAGAAATTTTGGGCTGGCTTCAAAGCTGCTCTTCCATTTGGCTAGAAGAAGATGCATTGACAGTAGATGATTTTACCTGCAAACATGCTAATTACTGAAGTGATCTTGTCCTATAGTAGAGTATCATAAAGATGCATGTACATGAATAATTGGTAGCAAGTAGCTTTGTTTACATTCAGGTTAGAATTGTTATTCATATTCAGTATGTCCTTGCTGCTGGTTTACATTTACTGTTGAAATTGTTGACAACTGTCTGCAGCTGACACATCACAACTGCTTACATTTCAAACATAGAAAAATATAATTATATTTTTAGATTCAGTAAAAACAAAAATCGATTAAAGAGATAAAGTGCAGTATTATCATTAGTAATACAACTTGTTCTACAATCCATATTTCACCAGAATGTTCCATGCCTTCATCTTCATGCATGGCTTTTGTTTGGTCCCTTGCAAGATGGGACAGAATTTTCACACAGAATAACCCATTTTGTTGCTTGCTCTTGTTAGCCATCTCCTCTTGCATTTTCATCATCACAAATGGATGGTTCGGCATTGGTCCATTAGACACTCCCTCATCTCACTCTCTTTTCTACCTGGCTTTTTGATGGTAAGTTATCCATTTCTATTCTTGCCAATTATGGAGCAGCTTTATCAACAATCTTCATGGTGAATCTGTTGTTTATCCAGTTCTGATAGATCTCTTCTGAGCCTTTTTCATCAAGCATCTTCCTCATCCAGTTCTTGCTTCAGACTGGACTGGAACCTCTGTCTTGTTCCTAGGCTCATTCACTTGTCCTCCATTTGAACCTTTGACTACCTTTTTTTGTAAGACATATTTTCTTTTACTTCTCACTTGTGGGAGATCTCACTTTGACATTTTTGCCTTAGATTGCCTCCATTCTTTACCACAGGGACAGTTTAATTTTATTCCTAAATTACTCCTTTCTCCCCTAGATTTGGGCTGACAGAAAGGATGATCTAGTGTTTCCTCCAATCATCCTTCCTTCTCTGTACTGTCATTCTGACACCAGTTGTCTTCTTTGCCATGTTTGTGCAGTTCATTGTAATCTTGCTCATACTGCTCTCTTTTGAGGTACTGAACATCATCCTTTCTTGCCATTGGATTCCTCTTCTTCACATGACTTATCTACTTTCATTTCGTTCAACTGGGTTAAGCAAACTCATTTGTGTTCATTCCTTTAAGAAATATGATGCCTTTCATTTTTATGTCACTTCCCATCAAGTTTAACATCTTGCAGCTTCTTTTGTCTCTAAGTCTTCGATGACCCCTGAATGATATCTTGCCGCCAGGTGAGGGACAACCTCTAAGACCTTTTGTTACAGTACTTACACTACATTGTGGTTTCAGTTGCCTCTTGTTTCCATCTCCCTCTAGTTGCCATTCTCCAGTCTTCACAGAGGCTCTAAGTAAGTTAGTTGCTAATTATTTCTTCTTTTTTTTTTCAGCTCCCACAATTACATTATTATTAACATATATTTATGTGCTTGAGCAGTGGAACACCGCATAGCTGGTAATACTTCACAGGGAATAGTTTTTCTCCCAAAATCTGTAGGAAATAACAATGTTAACCCTCAGTGCTTGCTGTTGAGATAGGGTTTTTCCTTTGGCAATTTTTATATTATATCTTCTAAGCAATACTACTACTTCATATAAAAAAACAGAACAAACTACATTCACTCACCTAAGTTGTTGTCAGATGCGTTTACTTTTAATTGGTTTTGCTTTTATTGATGTGCAGTCTTATTTTGGCTGAGCTTATTTCCAAAGTGGTGAGTTTTTCTTGCTGTGGCTGTGTGAGAGGAGTGCCAGACTGTTGGAAAACTCCAAATCATCCAGTTGGGTCCACATATTCCACTGTATTCCATTTTTTTATCTTGTGTTCTTGTTCTCATAATCTAGTCTGTCACTAACAAGAAAAGGTTGACATCCTTGTACCACTCCAGTCCTCACCTCAAAACTATTAGTAAGCTGGCTCTCATCCACAACTTTGCATTTCATCTCCAGATATCTGGTTTGTATTAGATATATACTTAGAAGTTATCATTATCTTTACATAAAGGTAGGATTTTGTTGAAGGCTTGGCACATGTGCAAAAATGTTTTGACAGTGACACAAGGTAATAGCATAGAAAATGTTAACTTTAGTTTCTAATTTTCAGAAGGACAATTTTGAGACCATGAGACAAGATTTATGTTATTAAATAGGGATAATGAGTTAATAAGTCATGTTGAACAGCTTTGAAAATTTTAAAAAGTATATTATTTTTAATTCAAAATGGATATGCTACCAAAAAAGAAGAAAGTGATAACATTAACTCTGTTGTTACGAGTGTTCTTATTGTTAGGGGTTAGAGGACATGCCATCTCATTTGGAGACTAAATTCAAACTCACATATGAAAGTTTATTGAACTACTATTTTATGAATGTATTTGAATAAGTTTGGTATCAAATTGTAGATTATAATTCCAATTTTAGTGTTATACATTAATTAATTACTTAATTTAAAAGTAAATATAAAAGAAATATCCTGAATATCGAATCTTGTGTCATGTGGTATGCTGAATGCAGCTTTGATTCAGGTTAGGTGTTTGTGATGTCCAAATACAAAGCCTGTTGTTTCTTACAAATTAGAAACTCAAATTACCAATATTGACAAGCTAGAAGGCAAAATAAGAACCTCCTATCTTTTCAGTTTGCTGAGATATCACTATATTCATGAATCAAACACAGTGGCTCTGCCCATCTCCTCTATTTTTGGAAATACTTGCTTATGTACACCCTTTTCACTCTATCATGTTTATAACCAATTAAAAGCTCAGAATTCTCCCTACATTCTTAGCCTCTTGAAGGTGAGTATTTACCAAGATTATTTCCTTTGTCTCTGATCTAAGAAGAAGGGGTAAGTGAATATGTTGTTCAAAAAAACTATTTTTTTAGACCCAAATACAGTTTAGTTAGTAAGCCTGGTAAATTACAGTGGAATCCTGTAATATTGGAAAAGTAATTTATAGTTTTTATTATTTCAAAATGCATATATAAAACCTAAAAAAGTTATTTTGTTTGACATCCTCCACGTGTGAAATTTGGCAAGGCTTAGCATGCATGGTATGGCAAGTGAGTACAAACTTCTTTACAATCGTAAGTAGTAGAGTTCATTGTTTTGTATATTTCTTTACTTATTATTCTGTGTTTTAAGAAAAATAACTGAAACTTATTAATTATTTGTAAATATTAATAATATATATACATATGTAATGTATAGTAACCAAAATGTGACTATTTTACAAAATACTGGTCCACTAGAACAAAACCAAGACAGGTCACTTTGTAAAGGCCAGTTTTATACTAGTGGATACAGTGACATGAGTACAAGTGCACCGCGTCATTGCAGCATCTTTAATGTTAGTTAGACATGGCTGAAAGGTCAGTAAAATAAAAATAATATATTTTTATATATGTAAAATATTATGAGATTTAAGCTAAATTTTTGTGGTTCCGTGTTATAATTTGGAGTAATTCTAGAAAGAAAAAAGCTTAATTTATATCTATTTCCTATTTTTTATGGTGGTTACAAGATCGGTAGAATGGTCCAAACCCATACAAAGATACAATAGTGAAAATAACAGATAAAATATAAAGTTTTTTTTCTAAAAAAAAAGTTTGATAATTATCTGGAGGATATTAGGATGTTATGGAGATTTCACATGTGAAATTGGACAATTTTTTGTTGCATAAAAGTATTTTTAATCTTAAAATCAAAATTACTTTACATGTTGGATAGTCAATATTTGAAAATGAAAATGCATGAGTAAATAATTAATTAAAATATGTTAAAACTTAATTAAAAATCTGATATTTTTGTGCATGAATGCTTTTTAGTGTTTACTGCAAAATTTTATAAAGATATACATATATTTAAAAAGTTACAGTATAACTGCTCTATGGTTACTTTCGGGAATAGGGGCTGGGTGAAATTCACCCACCTGTGTTAGAAGGGTTACAATATTGGGCAACAGGGAGATCTTTTTTTCGTTCTCAATAGAAGACTTATAGTTATTGAAATATTTTCTAAGAGTCATTTGGGTCTGTCCAGTATGCTGGTGACTATATTTTTTACACTGTATGAGGTAAATGATATTGTATTAATACTAGAAATAAATGACCTTATAACACCGAAATGTTATAAG